GTGCACAAAACATTTCGTCAACTTTGAGCGGTTTTTGTTGAATAACTTTGCACATGTAGCCTATATTTACACCAAATAAGACTCCTAATTGTATTTTGAAAAGATCTATCAGTGTATCAAATTGGAGAAAAATCCATAAAATTAAGTATGTTTTCCTATCAAATAAATTGTCCTTACTTTTGGTGCGAAGAAAAAAAAATAGGAAAAAATTCGATCAAAACTGTAGATGTTATACCTCAGGTATTTCTTAATGGATTGCCTTGAAATTTGGTATGTGAAATAAGAGTCTAAGAGAGCACATCCACTAAAAATATTTATTAGTTTGGATTAACAGAGTCCGATATAGAGAAGATGGAAAATCGCTAGACTATCACTCCTGTCAATAACACACAGTGTATCCTGCAGGTTGTTTTTGCCGCACGACACGTTACCATTTGTCTTCATAAACGTATAATGTTATTCTACGACCTAACGTTAGACCTTTTTTTTAAAAAAACTGACAAGCTTTTAATATGTTAGTGTACAAAATGCCTACTAGAGATATTTACATACACCTTCTGTTTACACCCGTTGAAAGCAAGTGCGCGCGCATGCGCATTTAGATAGTAAAGTGTGCAGGTATTTTCAGGACAGACAAAAATTGAGTATTATTATAATAGATTCTGTTAAAAGAAACTGCTTTATGTGTCCTGAAATACCACTAAGGTAAACGAACACCAACAACATAGCAAAACTGTAAAGTGGAGTCCTTGTGGCCTTACCGTTTCCTCGTTATGTCCTTCTTTGTCCATCCAGAAGCAGGACAAACCGTTAGTTTTTTGCTCCTTCCCAAACCACACTGGACTACTCGTAGCGTTGGATACCAGCCTTCTTACAAATGTTTTCCTAGTCGTTAGAACGTCCTGACCAGGTAGTTTAGCTTGTAATCTCAAACAATGGAGCTCTGCATCAATCGGCCTTAAAGAAGTCGTGATCACTCTGAAACAGGCGCTGCCAGTAGCTTCTCTGTGTTCCATGAACCCATTTATGCAAGTAGACTCTATCGATAGACAAGAAAAATTGAAAATATTAAACTTCTGTATGAGAATTATGGATAATATTAGAATTAAAAAGCTCTAAATATCCACGGAGACGACATACTGAGTAATATAACAGTAATAAAGTAGTGTCTGTTAGATTAACAAAGATTTAACCAGTTAATTAAGACGACACACTGAGTAACATAACAGTAATAAAGTAGTGTTTGTTAGATTAACAAAGATTTAACCAGTTAATTACGACGACATACTGAGTAACATAACAGTAATAAAGTAGTGTCTGTTAGTTAGGACGACACACTGAGTAACATAACAGTAATAAAGTAGTGTTTGTTAGATTAACAAAGCTTTAACCAGTTAATTAGGACGACATACTGAGTAACATAACAGTAATAAAGTAGTGTCTGTTAGATTAACAAAGCTTTAACCAGTTAATTAGGACGACATACTGAGTAACATAACAGTAACAAAGTAGTGTCTGTTAGACTAACAAAGCTTTAACCAGTTAATTAGGACGACATACTGAGTAACATAACAGTAATAAAGTAGTGTTTGTTAGATTAACAAAGCTTTAACCAGTTAGTTACGACGACACACTGAGTAACATAACAGTAATAAAGTAGTGTCTGTTAGATTAACAAAGCTTTAACCAGTTAGTTACGACACACTGAGTAACATAACAGTAATAAAGTAGTGT